CTTTGGCCTGCCCTTTTACTTTATTGCCAGCATGCCATTACTTCAGCAGCTGAATTATTTAGTAGCTGCTATTGTTGCTGTTCTAAAAGTGGATGTTGATAAATGGGTAACAAAACAGCTGTTATACACTAAAATTTAAGCCTGTATTTTACAACTAAAACCCATATGATAGTAGAGTTAAACACGAAAAAGCACATTTTAAAACAATGTGGAATTCTGCTTGTTCTGTTTCTCAGCCTTCTTTGTGATTCATCCTTCCCTATCTGATGATGTTTCTTGTGGTTCCTTCCTCAGCTGCCTTCTCCATCTATTCACTCTCTGGGCAAACTTATTTACTTCCACACTTCTCTGCAGAATGATGGACATTTATACCCAACAATGTAACAGAAATTTCCATTTGGATGTCTTCCCAGGCATTTCAAATTCAACATACTTAAAATAAAACTTAACTTTCTGTTTCCAAAAACCTGCTTCTCCTTACATTCTCTTTACTTCAGGAACCAGCACCATGTACCATCAGGTGTTAAAATTAAGAAACTCAGCTTCCTCTTCTCACCGTTCTAGTCACCAGCATCTCACTAGTTTTTTTTTCCTAATATTGGACTCCTTTCATCTGCTTTCCTCTATTGCCAGAATGCTTTTTTTTAAAAAAAAGGACAATCTTTTAAGTTAAAAAACCGACCTGATTATATGTTCCTTTTTAATCACTTTATTGATTTATGATTGAGATACAAAAAGTTGTATTTATGTATACAATTTGATCAGTTTGGAGATAAGTATACACCAGTGAAATCCTCACCATAATCAATGTCACAAACATCCATCACCTTCAAAAATTTCCTCACACCCTTTTTATTTTTGTGTGTGTGATAAGAACAATGATTACTTAACAATGATTACATGTTCTTTTGTTAAAGGTCCCCATTTGCTATAGAAAAAAATCCACACATATCTTACTGCATGATGTTGCATGAGCTGACTCCTACCTACCTTTGGAGCTTTTTCAAGGCTCTCCTTCTCTCATCCTCTACACTTTGTACTTTTTCCAGTTCTTTGCCTTAGTCTTCATTTCCTGTGCCTGAAACACCATTTTTTTCTTATTATTCCTTTCTTCATTAACGGCGACTCAGAAATATTTTTCTGAAGAAGGCCTTTCCTGACCCACTAGACTTAGTAAGATCTCCCTGTAATCAGCTCCCCGTATTTTAACTCTCATCAGGGCAATGTGAATCTTCTTTCCCACTGTATCCTTAGTGACTAGCCAGTGCTTGCAAGATATACAATAAATATTTGTTGAATAAATTTATGTGCATTTGAATATAAAGGATTAGTGAATACCTTCTAGTAATGCTAATGTTTTCCTCATTTAAATGTCGATAAACAGCAAAATTGTTTTTCTTAAGCACCATTTAAAATATTTAAAATTTAAGCATTAATCCAGTTATTAATAGCATGCTTTTCACATTGAAGTACTATACAAATTCAGTCACTTTTTACATTGAAGAACACATCCAAAGAGAGTATGGTATGAAATTTACCTAAACATGATTTCAGCTGCTTCTGCCATCTACTGGACATGTAGCATGGGCTTTTCAGGGGCCTATTCTGAACCAGAGTGCTTATCCAGGATTCTAACAGGATTTTAAAACTTCATCTATATTTAAATCATATAATCATTGGTAATTTTTGTACTGTATTTAAAAAAGTCATAGTAATTTTCCTTACACATAATTTTTAAACAATTTATTATTTATATTATAATTTAAACATATTTTTAAATGGTCACACATAAATCGTTATGGTGATAAGGCACATTTTGGTGGGAAACATTTTTTTCCCCCCAAAATCACTGTGCCCTTTTGGTTTTAAGAGATCTATAATTTGGAAGTATGATTAGTCCTCACCACAGCAGGTCTAGAGATGCCTGGTAAATCATCTCCTCCAGCTGCTGGTTGACTGAGTAGTCGAGTGGCAGCTTTTTTGACTGCACTACACCCACCCAGGTCTAGCCTGAGCCCTTTGTAGGGTGGGAAAACGGCAGAAGCAATTTCATTTGGCGAGGCTTTGGGAATGACATATTCTTTTCTGAATTGAAGCATTTGAAGCACATGGAGTCCACATGCTATTTAACAGCCTTCCCTATGTCATAAGAAAGAATTAAATCTGTTATTTACATGTGCCTGGAAGGCCTGAGAGTAATTGATGCTCAGGTGGCATCCATAAATAGAGTTGACGAAGTTAGCAAAAACAAGAAAACAAACCAAACCCAAATCAGGATATTCAGTTAAGTGGGAATTTCAGATAACAAATAATATTTAGTATAAGTATGGCCCAAATATTGCATGGGACATATTATACTAAAGTGTCTTAAGTTTTTTTCTGGCAACTCTAATTTAATTCAATTCAAATTCACAAATATTTAGAGGTAGGTCCTACGCCCTAAAAGAAAAGAGAAATGATTCTTGGTACAAAGTCGGTAAACTGCATACTAAAATAGAAGCTTTGCCTGGGAAAATCTCAATAATGGGTTATAGTATCAATAATGACTTACTTTATTTATGAGTATTATTTCATATGAGCAATTTGGTCAAAAATCTTTTTTAGGGGATTGTTAACTCCAATAAAACTACTTAAGAAAATGCCCCAAACTGTCTAGTATGTTCAATTCAAAAATCTTTAAATAGAATACACATTGTTTAATGTATCCCACCTGGAAAGATTACATAATCCCAGTTTGCCTCTGTTGGTTTATATAATTGTGCTTTCCCAGTCAGCAGAAAAGAAAGACAAGAGACCCTTATGATGAGTGACAACGGGCCAAATGTATTCAGGAGGCACTGAAGCACAGCTTCAAATGCGGAACAAGTGAGGCCTCCTTGAGGAAGCAACTGGGGGAGAAACTGACATGCACCCTTTATCCCCCTTCCTTTTTTTTTTTTTTTACTTAAAAATAGTTGTATTTGTATTCCACAATTTGTTCAAATACTGGTTTCTTTATAAACTTTCTACAGGATTTTTTTTAAACAAATCCTTCACATTGTGTCTTGACTATGACTTATGGAATTTCACAGAAATAGTTCTGTGTGTTTTTATTGTTCAATTTGTATTAAAGGGATGGCAAGTGGTCACATGCAGTCCATGTAGGATTCTAGTATGACATTTAGTAAGTTTTCTGACGTACACCATTCCTTCAATGCTGAAGGTAATGCATCTGTGGAAAGAAGGAATTGGACTGGAAACTGGTTTGCAGGGGTAAAATAATCAAGTTATCACAGGAAGAGACCCTAGGATCATGTGACCACTAGCTATGTGCATTATCATCTGGAAGGAGCTGGTCTTATAGGATTATGGAATGACCTACTGAAAAGTCAGCTATAATACCTGCTGTAATGCAACATCTTGAGCAGTTTGGAGTCTACCTTTTTGGATGAATGATATACTTTGAATAAAAAATGGCCTATTTCCCTCATAACAAAATTACACAGGTTTGGGGATATAATGATAGCCAGTCTGATCCTTAGGTGAAGGTTTTAAGGAGTCAAGGGAAAAATGTTTCTGCCAGGGATCAAAGTCATAATTCCACTGATTTCTGTCTAAAGATTGGATAATTAGCTCTTCTTTCATATTTCCATTTCATTTTAGGAAGCTATTTCTTCTCTATCCATTACTGTATAGAGCAGGCAAATTTACTGTTCAGTCCATCAGTCACCTTGAGGTGATTGTGAAGGAGCTATAGGAGGAACGCACATCAGCTCAAGACCCTTGACTTGGAAAACAGTGGTCTTCAGTGGCCATTGTATTGTTCTTCCATGAGTTGGAGCACTTGCATTGGGCTCATCTGATGAGGAACATTCTGGTATCTGCAGCCCATGTCCATGCGCTCTGCTCTATCTTGCAGTTTTCTAGGTCCATACATTCTGTTCTCCCTGCTTTGACTCAGGTCTTTTCTGGTTCACTGGTATCCTCTACTGTTTCTAACTACTGGTCCAGTGTTGTTTGACAGCAAGACAAATTTACAGGCAACCAAAGGCATAAGCAGAGTTCTGGAACTGTTTTTGCACAGTGTTGAAAACTGAGAGCTGCTCTTCAAACATCCTAAGTTGACAAAGGTGCTGTTAGGAGAATATTGCTGCCTGCTAAGAATGGAACATCCATAATTACTCCATGACGTCACTGAGTTCTTATGCTTTTTTCTCTTGCTCTAAAATGGCATTTTGTTAGTTCCTAAATTTGCTTCTACGTATTCCTGGTATTTGTCGTAGAATGTTACATGTAATAAAAGTGAAGACATAAGCACTATAAGAAGTTAGAAGTATGGTCCATTGCTCTGGAATATCTAAATGCGTCCTGCCTCCTTCATAGATCATAGTATTAATGTTTTAAAAAATAATATCATGAAATGAAAATATATTGGTTTAACCAGTTTGGGTAGTTAAAGACACGAAGCTCTAACTACAAGCTTCTTTGTTGTAATGGTCAAGTAGCCTACTGAACCTAAGCGCCAACCCATAATGAGTATTCTGCAGCGCTCCGAAATCTCTCTGAGAATGCAGGCCCCGAGAGGGGTCTCGAGTCCTGGATTCCAGTTCTAGCTCTGACCAGCTTTATGACTAGCACTTCGTTGGACCTCACTTTCCCCTCTGTAAAATGAGGCGGGGATGGGGGCTGCGTCTGGAAGGTGTCAGTGGTGGTATTCTCTTAAGTCCATGAGTCCAATCACGCAAGTCGCGGGCAAAGAGCGCTCGCGCGCCCACCTTGGTAACGACGGCGAGGTGAAGGGGCTGCGACGAGACCAGAAGCCTGGTTTCCCCGGGAGGCGCGGGCGCGTGGGCGGCGCCTGGACGTCGAGTCGCCTTCCTGCCCGCGCAGGTCCAGGCGCCGCAGCCAAACGCTCTCGCCGCTCTCCGCTCCGCGCACTCTGGTTCCCGGGCGCGTGCAGGGGGACGCGGTTGGCGGAGGCACCCGAAAGGGGCGGGTCAGGAAGTGGAGGCGCGGCGGCCCGCAGCGGACTTCGGGCTGCAGAGGGCTTTGGCGACACAGAGGGCGGGAGCCGCTGGGTTAACTCCGGCCTCCGCGGAAACGATGGCGGAGGAAGAAGGTGACGGCCCAGGGGTCCAGCACGCCAACTGTCTCCTGAGGTCTCGGGAAAGAGGGGCGGGGGCGCAAGGAGCCCGGAGGCCTGGATCTGGGAAGCTGCTC